AATATGCCTGATTTAGGAAACGGAATGCAAATGGTCTCAATATTTGCATTCGAGCATCGGCTAATTGCGCATTTCGCTGAACGAAGTGGTCCCAATCGTGACAAAATAGAACTGACACCTTCAGGTGCCAATCTACGAAAAATACTAGGGTCCTGAAACATCAATGAATAAAAAACCTATAGTTTGATGGTATTATGCTACCTGCATGAGGCCTCTTGTGTAACGCTTTCCTTCTGCGAAGTGCATTTCGCAGATATGCCCATTTGCCGGAAGACGAAACTCAAATGTTCCAGGCAAGCCGATGCCACTTTGAATAGCTTTGCGCCATTTTTCAAATTCGACGCTAAATCGTAACTTCTATATTATGCATAATAAATACAGACGTGAAACCAATCAGATTTTTCCAAGTTTCGATGTTTATGTGAGATACAAATGCACATCATCTCATCATATCTCACATAAACGAATTCGAATGGACATCTGGTTCAAGACTAGTTCAGATCTTGGGAGTGGCTGAATACATTCTGACGTAAATTTTAAATCAAAATTCTTAGAATTTCGTTCCCATGAAATAAGAGGTCAAAGTGCAAGTTAGACTTTAAATGTAACATACAAAAACATTTCCTTTGAGTGAGACAGAAAAGTTAAGCCTTTTGTGCTAGGCATTTCATGCCGGAATTCTACAAAGTGATAAAGGTCAAATATATGAAAGTGGAAAAACTATACGTACCTGTTCGAGGGGATCGAATACATTTTGATGTGCCTACCAGAGAACAGAGAAATTCCAGATGATTTATAGCTGCAGCCTGAGGAAATATTATGTACACTCTTTAAACGAAATTGAAGATCAAACGGTGAAAAAACCTGGCACACAACAGATGATCGGATCGCCCGATGAAGATATCAAAACACCGTTTGGTTCTGCAAATTCCACTAAGAAATGTTCCGGGCAAGGAGATGAAGTAATGCTGATAAAACAACAAATTACCAAGTTTATCTATGTCAACATCTTCATAGCCCACTTCGGAGAGATAGACGTAGCGACGCCGGAGGCGTAGTAAAAGCTCCTTAATAATAGTTGGGTAACAAAATGTTGAACACTTCGCGCGATTAGTTCTCTGCTTACAAACGTAGTGAATAATAGAAATTGACATACTGACCTCGCGAGAGTAGAAAGGCTTTACAGGAAGGTTAATAGTAGGTGCAACGGGAAAGGAAGGATCACTGCATGTTGGATCAAAATGGCGACTACATATTCGGAAAGGAAATGAACGCAATTTCTCAGGCAAGATAACTTGCCTTATCATCATCTGCGCACGTTCAGTATCAGCTGCAAACAACAGTATTAGACGTAATCTAGCAACCACTATCCGTGCTTACCATTTTCATCTCTCAAGCTGTTAACAAGCTTGATGATGAGAGCATTCTGTCGGCTGATGTCTGACTGGAAAGGTAAACAAGATTCTTACAAATTCGAATCAGTTCTCAACATCATATCATGTGACTACAGTTTTTTTCAATGACCAGCAAGTTCTATAAAAAGGCAGGTTTCAACGAATCGCTAACCCACGAGCAACTGGGTCGCAATTTATAACACAGAGACACTAGGAAGTGGAAGGATGAGAAAAAGAGGAAGTATGAGATTTTCAGGTGGGGTAACAGGAGGTGTGACCTCTATTTCCACTCGTGATCGTTCATAACCGAAGGCCTTCCCTTCCATTCTTCCACCCCTGCCGTAGCGTCGACTCATATTTTTGTCCGAACAAATTAATGATTTGAAGAAGATGGATTAACCAAAAAAATTGTGCGTTAAAATGAGCAAAGTAGGCTTTCCCCTTCTTTCACATCCTCCTTTCACTTGGAATTAGGATATTGAATGGGAAACAGAATGTGAGGAGACAAAGTGTTCCACAATCTCTTTGCGAAAAATAAGAATTCTGCCCGGCGTGGCAAGTGCGTGGAACACTTCCCTCGGAATCTTATGATTTCCTACCCACTATTCAACCAAGCTGATTGTACTTGATGATCACAGAATAAAAAGGCAGAAGTTATTCTAGTACAAGAATTCAGCATAACCAACCACGCATGCACATATCCACTGAAGTGCTGTTTCCACATTAGATGGCAAAGTACATCTGAATCCAACACTTTCTGGATGCGGTCCTCGGTAGGAACAAGCGTCTACACTGCATTTTAGCTTCCTACGAGTGGGCTTTGCCTGAAATCAAAGTGTAGCCGTAGTATAAAGGAAGTGATAGCAACTATTCTAATGAAATTGTATGATGATAAGATATGGGTTTAGTGTGTCCTAAGAATGCCCATCCACATGCCTTATAATGGAGTTAATGCTAGACATCCCTCACTATTATCTCTTTTTGAACAGTAAATTATCAGAGATTTCCTAAGTGAAACAAAGATTCAAATAATGCTTTCTTGCTTCATTTAGAAGATGGGGACAGACGCCTTTTACAACGACAAAATGTCACCAGCACGTGTGCGCGAAAAAATCTCAAGCAACCTTCAAGACCTTCCTATTCTCTAAAGAAAAAGGTTTTTGAGGATAAGAATTTTTTTCATTTCAATATCGGTCCGTGTGCTAACAAACCCCGTACATTCAGATTATGTTTTCGCAAAAAAAAAAAACCATTAGTCTTGCTGTTATGGAAAAATATTAAGATTACGTTAAC